AAAAAACACTCTTTCATAAGATGTATATTAACTGTTCATAGATGATTTTAAAAATTATTAGCAATTTTCTAGGTGTAAACTTTTTTTTGACTCACACGGTAGTTGTTTGTTCCTTTTTTTTTAAATTCTATGTACAAATGTTTGTGAAAGAAAAAAAGAACTCTATGAACTATGAACTATCAACCTAAACGGCTTCGTGCTTGGTAAAGCGGCGAACACAATATATCATGTTATATCACGTGATCACGTACGCGCGCTGGCTACAAATACGAATACAAATAGCAAACATTACTGGCAACGTGCAAAATTAGAGATATATAGTGTAGTGTAAGGGGAGATGAACATTGAAGGAATTCCAAACATTTTGGTCCATGTTGTCTTACCGATTTTGGCGCTAAAATTGTTTAAATCTTGGAAATCTTTTGAACGACGGGTCGGATATGTGTAAACAGAAATAGGAATATGGGTTGATTGTGAGAATATGTATATGCCTGCCTGAAAAATATGAATGTTTTATATTTTCTAATGTTTTAAACGATGAAATAAAGGTTCCGTGTGTGATAAATAATTAAAGTTATAGTAGTCATTCAAATCGCTCTCTTTTGGAGCAAAAATAAGGAATTTCCAACATCCGATATAAGCAACTAGACATTTTCATTAATTCACTATACGTTTTGAGCGTATCGAAGTTTTTATGGGAATAAAGAACACTTGTATCATCAACAAAAACAATAAAATTCAAAGTGGATTCAATAATATACAAATATACACTGTCTTGAGAGGGTCTGGTTAAAACTATGTGCAAGAGGCGATCGGAGGGGTACTCTCTAAATTTGAAAGTCTTATTTTTAAATCTTAAAGTCTTACTTTTAAATCTAACAGAGACTGATATTAGTGACGAACCCTTTGAGATTTAAAATAAGTCTAAGCTAAGACTTGAAATTTTAAGTCCCTGAAAAGGTTTGAAATTTAAGTCAATTGGATTTATATTTCAAGTCTTTTAATATTTATTTTAAACCTTTCTTGGATTCATTTCAAAAATAAATCTAAGCTAAGACTTAAAATTTTAAGTCCCTGAAAGATTTAAAGTTTAAGTCAATTGTATTTATATTTCAAGTCTTTTAGATTTACTGGTCTAGCTAAGCCATTAGAACCATTTGGTAAAACTTCCAACCAATTGAACGGCAACAACACTTCAATACTGGTACGTCTGTATTATCAATGTAAAGGCATCGGTAATAAGTAGACTTATACATAATTTAATTAATCGAATTTTTTTCATATACTTGTATTTTATTGAAATTATTTTAGTTCATAGTTAATGTTTCCCTTATTCATGTTTAATTAAATGGAATTCATACGAAGTAGCGAAATGTCCTAATAACTTGTAATTTATATTTGTAGTATTTTCGAAATGAATTGCATATACCTAAATCATCAGTAATTAAGAAATATGCTGTAAATTCAGAAAAATTGTTAAAAAAACATAGATCTGCACGCACCCCATATTCAATATGCAAATTAATTGGTGTCAGCTGGTTCAACTGGAAATATGCCAACAGTCAGTCATCAACAGGTGCAACTGGAAATATGCACATCTTATTGGCGAGAAGTTTATAGTCTTTCCAAGATTTATATCTAGAAGCTGGTTTCGATAAAACTTTTAGTCGAATTCCCAATTTATTAAGTCTTAAAGACTTGAAATATTTTAAGTCTCAAAATGGATTTAAAATTTAAGTCCTAGAAATTAAGAGAGTACAGCCCCAAAGCAAATGGTTCTATTGGAGTCATCGAGGCACATAGTTTAACCTGTACCTCGAAAAGAAGGCATGGTATATTTGTTTCATATCTTGCATCAAAAATGTATTTAAAAATAAAAAAAATAAAAAAAATAAATCAACTCCCAGATAGTACTCCCAAATAGAACTTCTACTCCGAAATAGTATTTTATTCAGAGCAACCTTAAAATAGTTGAAATATTTCTGGTCACGTGACGAGCTCTCAACCAATCAAAAGCCAATACATTTTTGATGCAGGATATAATACGATTTATATTAATAATAAATAACAAAAGACCCGATATAGAAAAATTCGGCACACCACATTTAATATTTTTTTAAATTGTATTCGTGACTTTGAAAAGATACGTATTGTCTTTCTTGTAAATGAATAATAAACCACGAGCTTAACCTCTTTAGTATTGTAATTAATATTTATAATCTATCGTATCAAAAGCTTTGGAAAAGTTCACAAATACTCGAATAATACTGCTCGCAAAAGCCTCAACTAGTATATGTAAAATTGTGTGATCGGTAGAATGACCATTTCTGAATCCAAAGTTCCAAACGGGTTAGGAATCAATGATTTATTATTTTGTAACAGGTGTAGTAAAGTCCTTACTATAATAAATACTTTGTAACAATGATATCGCCCTATAATTACTTATTACCGAAGAATCAGCCTTTTTATAAGTAGGAAACACTTTAGCGATTTTAAGGAAATTCGGGCATACAGCCGTTGAAAGTGTTAAGTTGAATATATTTGTCAGGAGTTAAAATATTGAAGATTATTTGTTTCAACAAGTGAATGCGTTTCTATGATGTAGTTTTTATATTGAAGGTATATGTACTCCAGGAAAGCTTTAGGATTTAAACTGGGTGGTCTATTAATAACGCCTACATCAGGATTTTTAAAAGAGTTTTCAATTTCTATTTCAATAAATAACGATTCTGCATTTCCTTCAGAAAAACGTAAATCATGTCTTATTACAAATGATATAGAACTTTCAATATATTATAATGCTACGCCACCTCCTCTTTTTATTTTCGTGTCTGTATGAATAAATATTTATGCAGTAAGTTACTCAGTATAGCTATCTAGTAATTAAAATCTTTTTATTTTTATTTTTTTTGAAATAAATAAGATAGGGAACAGATATGGAGTAGAAAATATTCATCAAATAGGTGCTGTAACTAACTTCAATAAACGTATCAATGACCAAGTACAGCTTATAACGCTTGGAGCATTGGAGCAAAACAAGTACTGTAAGTTACATGAAGGCACATACGTCTTGTCTTAAGACGATTATCAATAACTATAAACGACTGTCGTTTATAGTGTTACGAATGTTACGAATGTAGATAAAAATAATTTAGTACATATTGATCTTTGCAAGAACAAGAATGAAAAAAGTTAAACACATAATATACAGAATGCAAGATAGGGGACAGATATAGAGAAGACAAATATTCATCAAATAGGTGCGGGAACTATAACGGCAATAAACGTATCAATAACCATTAGTATACAGCTTATAACGCTTTGAGCACTGGAGAAAAAACAAGTACTGTAAGTTACATAATACATTATAGGCTTTTTACCTCTTGTTTTCAGACGGTTATCATTAACTATAAACGACAGTTACGATTGTAGATAAAATAAGACATCCGTACATAGGCACATGTCTAAAAAGGAATTTAGTATGTATTGATCTTTGCAAGAAAAAGAATGAAAGAGTTGAAGGCGCAATACAAAATGTAACAAAAAAACAACAATAAACAATAATAAACCAAGTACAACAACAATAAACCAAGTACCTTTATGGAATAGTTATTGCACTAGTTGTCTATGCTCATGATGGCTGTCTCCTGCATTTTCTGTAATTTATCTCTTTTTTTTCATTGAAATTATATTTGTGTTTGTATGCATCTTATTCAATGTACTTAAAAATGTATAATTATGTAAAATGAAGAAATATTTGTTACTTTATGTATATGATTATGTTTCATTTTGAAAATGCAGAAATAAGAAACAAAGAAATAACGAAAGTGTGAACAAATAAACCGCGTGCATGACTTTGTGCACTTGTATATATGTGTGTACATAATGAAAGTAATATTAACATATGACAAATTACAATGCTACGAAACGAAAAAAGATATCATTAATTATCAACAAATGATGATACTTTAGGAGCTGTCAATAAGTGGTTTCCATACTGCTGCTTATTGAGTCCATATAGTACATGAATCCTGAGTAAGAATTCATCGTGAAGGAGAACGAGGAAACTAACCCCTTTGATAATTCAAGCTATCCTTCCGTTTCCGTTGATCTCCACTATCCGCCTGAAAAGTAAAGACTGGGTTATCATCTCGATATGCTGCATTGGGTTCTTCCAGCCATTTCCTTTTCTGCTATAAAATTTGCTTGATGAGATAATCAGCGATGTAATATGGTACATAATTACACATTTGCCAAAGTTTAAAAAGATATTTTAAAAATCTATTTTATGGATGGATATACAAGTAGGCCTACGTATAGAGAAAACACCACCCCACACAAGGTATCCGGAATTATAGAGTTGTGGGTTACGAATGATGGGTAGTGGATTCAATTTTCTTATAAAACAGTCAGAGTCAAATATTCAACTTCGATACCAAAGATTCAGTTATCCTAATTAATGGTATAGTGTCCCAACTACATTAACAATAATTATCTTTTCTGTAGACTCGGCACATGGTGTAATTAACCAAGGAGTTGATTTAACATTTCCGCACGGAAAGCGGAAAGCTGGACTCTCTACAAAAGTCAAGTAAAGAAACTTCACGCGTTCATGATGAGACACCTTCGAGCAATCATGAGAATCAGTTGGAAGGACAAGGTGACCAACAAAGAGGTACTAGAGCGAGCAAACCTTCCTTCTATGGAGGACCTGCTCATCAGGAAGAACCTACGATGGACAGGCCATGTCATCAGGATGCCCTCTGAGAGGTTACCAAAGCAAGTACTATTCTCGCAACTACCCGCTGGCGAAAGAGGGATTGGTCGTCCACGGCTTCGCTACAAGGACACGATCAAGAGGAACCTTAAGCGGAGGCAAATTGAAACCAAGACTTGGACAATTGCTGCAGGCCAGCGAGCTGTATGGAGAACAGCTGTAAAGTGAAAATGAAGGCGGTCATTGTCGCTTCGCGACAGACAGCTACTACTACTACTGATTTAACATTTGATGGGTTATTGGCCTTAAATTTCTTTTTAAAAGAAAATTCTCCCAAATTTTGCTTGGGAATAGTCCAGATTTATCTTTTTTCTATACTTATGGTCTGATTTGCCATTATGGTTTTACCGTTTGTCAGATGTTCTTAAGGATCTGGCTTTCAAGTGGACTTTTGTTTTGAAAACTTACTCGAATTAGTTTTTATATTCCTATCCTTCGTTTTCATCTTCGAGTCGGGATGTTTTAATGGTAATCTACTACTGATCAATCTTTTTTTCTGGGCAACATGTTTTCTTAAACGTTCATGGAAACCGGTGTGGTATTGTGGTATTCCCATTGTGTGCATGCGTACACAAGTCTTTTCCGTCGAATCGATATCGCTCATGTCATAATCGTTACACCATTTTGGCGCGTTCTTTACCATGATAAAAGCAACTATGCGGTTATCATTAATTCTACTCTCGTTAACTCTAGCAATACATTTACCCACGAACTCCTGATGTTTTTTGAATAATTTCATATCTGCTTCAAAGTCCCCGTCATAATTTCGAACTTTCTCCCAAAATGTCTTGTTAAAATAACTGTAGAGTTTTGCATCGCCAGTATTCCACTGCAGAATTTTCGAACGCAATTCATCTGTCGTGTTTCGTTTGAAGGTGGCAGAACGAATGCCCTTTGATATATATGTGATGTCAGTCATTTTCCAACATAGTAACTTCCGAAGTAACACGAGAGACTCATCAAAATACTCGTTGATCATTACCAGGTTGAAATCTCTGTCCAGCTGTTTGATATAATGATCAACGACGTCCATCCGGTACATATCCACAGGATCCATCCCAAGATCATAAAGCTGCATGCTATGTATTCGATTTTCCATACCCGGGTATTTCTGCTGCACATAGTTGTAATATTTCATCGGATTCGACATAAAAAGCTCAATCGGATTCTCGGACTTTGGCAAGAAACGATCCATTTTAAAATAATAAAATCCGGACTCGAATTGTGCCACTGGATTTCTAAGGATCGTCACATATGTTGCATTGTGAAGAACCTTATCCATTTCTGACCGGTTGTATCGGATATGGTTGGTAAACATTTGGTAACCAATGCTGAAATTCCAACTTTTGGAAGTCGGTGGTCCGATTTTAGATGTGTTGAAGGTATCTGTTTCACTGAGAATATGTTTGTAATCAGGCACCAGAAATGTAAGATTGTGCTTCGTGCCGAATCTTTGGAAGACTGAAGATACTGTTGTAGAACCCGTCTTGTGAGTTTTAAGAAAGACTACATGGTGAACTTCACTGCATCCCAGGGGACGAAAGGAAGTGGCATCGTTTAATCTGTAAAACAAGGAAAAGATTTCCTGATAAATCAATTTCTAAAAACCTCTCTGGCACTACAAGATAAGCATAATGTGGTCATATTGTTATAAAGCACGAAAGAAACTTTTTTATATCAAATTTTTGATCATAATCTAAAGGAGATGGAGAAGGTATTCTATAGGATTCCAGGACAATGTCACCTGGGCCCTGTTTCATAAAATTTGATATGAATAACAAATAACAAGCTATACTGTTATAAGCTACTGAAATCATGGCATCTGATTGGCTGAGAGCAAATTTGTCATAGAAATTTAGCAGTTGTTATAGATAACAAGTTTTATGAAACAGGCCCCTTGACTATACAACATTGCACTTCAGAATCTCATTTCGAGACAATACTATACATGGAAAATAGTGTGCAGTATGCCACAGAACTGATTTGATACATATATCCAGGGGGTAGATGATCTCCAACCAACTATCTTCTTTGATGTTTCATTCGATAGCAGAACAGGGGGTCACCGATGCAAAATATTGAAGAAGCATGGGATGAAGTCAATGTTGAAGCATTGCTCTTTTTAACAAAGAGTGATATCAGAATGGAATAACCTACCTTGCAGTAGAAAGTCCATCAGCGAACAGTTTAAAGACAAATCTAAGGAATATTTCGGCATCCACAAGAGAAGAATTTGACCCCAAAGAATTATTTTAACTGTCCATGTTATTTTAACAGCTGCGAAGAGCCTCTCATAATATAGAACATTAATTCGTCATCGTGATTGCAAAGGGGCAAATAAGTTTAGTGTCACTTTAAGCCCACTTCATATCGAAATGAATATTGGATACATGCTCATGAAAGTTATGCAATCATTATTCAGGTGAAAGTATTCTTCTCACGATGGCTAACGAAAGGTGTTCATGAAGTACCTCAAGCTATATGTTTTTTATTAAGTTCCTTTTTTCACATGTAATTTCGAAATTATTTAGTGTAAATACCATACAAACTTATGCTATGTAGATGTCTTTATTATTCACGAATATCAATTTTGTAAACATGCTGTGTTTTGTTAATGCATTTTATATATTTTTTTAATAACTAAACTGAACAGAAACTGAAGTGATTATACTGCAATACACGAAGCGGGACTTCTCCATGCATGTGTAAAGATCTTTGGATATTTGGGCGTCATACCATTTTACCATTGTATGCTAACTACGAACTGGTCTACAACCCCAGGGTTTTTTTCAAAAAGATCCTAGGTTGAACATGACTTGTCTCCAAGTCGGACTTAAATTAAGGAAAGCTGTTAGCATCTTTTAAAATATTTTGTGAAAGTTTTTTTAAAAGGCATAAAGTGTTGATTCAAATCATTCATATTTTCTATTATCAAGGCGATATCTGTGGAATTTATAACAATTGTAAAATACTCGAATTTCTGCTTTTGAATATTTCATTTTAAGGCTACAAATGGCTCTCCATACTGTTTAAGTCCAACTTAGAGTTAAGTTCGACTTAAGAAGATCTTTGTGAAACACCCCCTAGGACTATATAAGACTTCACAAAAAATCCCTCTAGGCAAGGAGAATCACGGGAGGAGAATTACCGCCATGCAATATTGCTCATTGGATGATAACCTGAATGGTAGTTATATATATTGTAATTGAACTTGTCAAGGAAAATTTGATATGATTTCGATGAAACGTTAAATTATAGAACTCAGTGTTTAGATCATTTTAATTAAACTTTCCATATAAAAGAGATTAATAGTCTAAAATTTAATTTCGTTTTGATTGAAAAAGAAAAGGATACATTTGTTTCATTTGGCTCTGTATAGTGAGTCTCCTGAAGTACTTGAGCTATAACAATAATTTACTCATTATTATTAGGCTATGGTCTTCCAATGTTTTTCACTAAAGTGCTTGTTCACCGCTTTATTATGTTTGTATGGACGGCAAAAAATTATAGCAAACTTGTTATGAAACAATATATTGGGCCATGGAAATTTCAAATACAGATATGTTATTGTTGCGAGATAACACGATGTTGTTATGGAAACCCGAGTAGCCGTAGTTATAGACCTTTTATGATGTGAGTCTAACCCAACTTTATAATAATAATAATAATAATAAAACGGTGCTTATAAAGCACTTACTATACCGAAGTCTCTAAGCTCTAAAAGTAAAAGACAGTATTTCTAAGGAGGAAAATAGTCAGGAGTGTAGAGAAATGTATTGGTCGTCAAGGGGGAGAAACAATTTATTAACACCATAAGAAGAGAAATATTACAAGTTTGGTGTATACGGATGAGGGAAAGTAGTGTTAGAGAAACTGAGCTCTTGTCTCTGTTGATATTGATTATATCTGATTGACATGCATGCATGGTAAAAGACGCCTCGATTTTGAGTCTTTTTTTTGAGAATGTCTAGCTACTTTATACTATTTGTATTTAATATTTATTGTCCATTTCTGGAAATTTGATTTTCACTGCATGGTGTAACATAATTATACAGATTATCATTTACTACTAAATTTTCCAAAAATTCTAGACAATAACAGTAAGTAAACAAGGTTTAACATTATGATTAAGCAGAATAAACAGAACTACATGGGTTTGGAGTCAGTGTGTCCCATTAGCGACATACGTATTCTGCATCTATAATGATATTTTTGAATTGACCTATCACTGCATTACCTCACTCTCTGATCGTATTTGGGCTTCTTCTCTACTGATATCAATCTCGATTGATGAGATGAGTACACGAGATCGAGCGCGATGACGATGCCGGTGAAGACAACGACTTGTACGAAGATATTTCGCCGACCATTGCCCGGTTCGACAGCTCTCGCCATCTTTTTGCAGCTAGACATCTCTTTGTATGTGCATTGATTGGACTATGAAGATGCCCGGTAAAGATGACAGCAATAATAACAAAAGTTACAATCCACTTCTTAATAAACTTTGCCGCAAACCTGGCGAAGGCAAAAGTGGTATATAAATCTGTTTATTATCCGTGATAACATTGTTGGATGGATCAATGATATGCTATTATAGGTGAGCTCCGTGGTTGGATATTCAAAATTCATCACTATGTGCTATTCACCTACATGAGCACATTCTGCATGAACTACTTCCTTATGACGTATGCCAAGCGAACGATGCTTGCGACCTCAGGTTCATCTCTCAAATGTCGTAAGACGAGTACGCCTACGTGTATATGCAATCACGACGGACGGATAGTTTGGAAGAAATAATCTATACAAAGCACTGGTATTTTCCACTGGCAATGTATCAAGCAACGGCAAACGAACCAATAATATTAACTGCCTGCAAAAAATATTTAAGCACCAAAGACTTTGACAGACGAAAACCACGAATATCCTCCTGGAAAAAATCATGAAAGGTTGATTTCCTCTCAGTATTACATTGTATGTAGTGGAGAAATAAAAGTACACAATGATAACATGAACATTTCTACTGTATGTATAATGTATGCCTGCTCCGAGACTGCGCGCCCAATCAGCTTAGAAAATCACACAATCTCAACGCTAAAACGTAGACGCTCAGCACTGGCGTACCTATGGGGGGGGGCAGGGGGGCAGAGTGCCCCCCCTGACGGGCTCCAGGGGAAAAAAAGAAAAAGGGGAAAGAAAAGAAAAGAAAGGAAAGGAAAGAAAAAGAAAAAAAGGAAAAGGGAAGAAAAAAGGAAAGAAAGAGAAAAAAGGAAAGAAAGAGAAAAAAGGAAAAAAGGGAAAGAAAAAAGGAAGAAGAAGAGAAAAGGAAGAAAAAGGGAAAAGAAAAGGAATAAAAATGGGGAATTTTTAAAAAAAAAGACCATGGCCGTACGCACCAGGGGGGGGGGCAGTTGACACCAGATATTTTGAAAACGTACAGTTTTTTTTTTCCTGAAAATGTAGTGTAGGCCTATACCAAATCCTTCAATTCTACTTTTGAAAATGCAAAAGTACCCTCATGACCAGTTCGGTCGCTCGGACTCCCTTCACTCCTTTTGCTTTTGAGATTCTTCGAAAACTTTTAACGCATCTTTCCCCCTCCCCCACCAGAAAAATATTCCGCATACGGCCCTGAAAAATTAAAACAAATTAAAAAATAGGAAAATATAAGTGATATAACAAATTCGAAACTCTTCGCTGGCGCGAACTGCTTGCTAGCCTATTTTGTATTAAATGTTTTCACTTGCTCGTCCCCCTGAAAAAAGAAAAGGATTAGTATTGCCTAGAATACAATTGTGCCTGCCCCGACGGGCCCCGACCTGCAACCATGGCAACAATAACACACAATATATGTACCAAATGTTACTAAAAGAGACTAATTCATTTTTCTCGCTCGCTACACTCGCTCGCGAATGAATAGACATTGCTTTGGAAACAATTGTGTCCACCCTTGACCTGCAAGTCTGCAACAATATCATTAAAAATTGAAGAGTTTTTTCGCCCTCTCGCCAAAAAGGAATTGAATCGCGTTAAACGCGATTGCGTCCATCCTGACTTGCACCAATAAAAATAAGTTTATTTATTAATTTTTATTAAAAGAGAATTTATTTTTTTGCTTGCTCGCTATGCTCGCTTGCCAAAATAGAATTGACACCGCTAACGTGCCCGCCCCAACCTACAACAACCAGTTAATAATTATGTACCAAACGTTATTCAAAGAAGTTTTGGTGTGCTCGTGCTCGCCAAAACGGAATTAACATCACCTTAGACATGATTGTGTAAGCCCTGCCCTGCAACAAAAAAATCTGAAATTTATGAACCAATTATCATTACAAAAATTAATAATTATGTACCAAACGTTATTCAAAGAAGTTTTGGTGTGCTCGTGCTCGCCAAAACGGAATTAACATCACCTTAGACATGATTGTGTAAGCCCTGCCCTGCAACAAAAAAATCTGAAATTTATGAACCAATTATCATTACAAAAATTTTGCTCGCTCGCTACGCTCGCTCGCCAAAAGAGAAATAACACCGCTTTTAATAATCACGTCCCTGACATGGAACAATGAACCCAAGTTTATATACCATATTTTCCCTATAAAAAAGAAGTGATTTTTTTTGCTCGCTCGCCAAAATAGAAATAACACCGCTTTTAATAATCACGTCCCTGACATGGAACAATGAACCCAAGTTTTATGTACCATATTTTCCCTATAAAAGAGAAGTGATTTTGTTTTTTTTCGCTCGCTACGCTCGCTAGCTCGTGGAATTATGTGCCCACCACTAACCTGCTACAATATCATTAAAAAGAGAAATGTAGGGGTTGCCTGCCCGCCAAAATGGGATTGACATTGCCTTAAACACGATTGTGCCCGCCCCTACCTGCAACAATGAAACAAATTTTATATAGCAATTCATTGAGAGAAAGATGTATTTTCGCTCGCTAGCTAAAATGGGTATAAAATCACCCTAAACACAATATTGTTCCCGCGCCCTGCATGGGACAATTGAACCAAGTTTAAGTGGCAATTATTAAAAAGAAGTGATTTTTTTCTTGCTCGCTACACTCGTTTGCAAAAAAATGAAATTAACGTCGCTAACAAGTGAATGTTCCCACCCCAACTTGCAACAATACCAGTTTATATACCAAACGTTGCTTAAAGATTTTTTTTTTGCTCGCTTGCTCGCCAGAAGTGAAAAATAGCATCGCCTTTTTTGTTTGTTTCGGTCGCTTGCCCCCCCTGACGGAGTACCCCAGGTACGCCACTGACGCTCAGTGGCGGATCCAGGGGGGGGGGCACAGGGGGCACGTGCCCCCCCCCCCGGCCAACAAAAATATGTTAAAATCAGCCCTAAATTCGCCCAAAATATACCGAAAAAAAGGGCGTGCCCCCCCCGGCTAAACATTTTTTTTTTTTTTTTTTTTTTTTTTTTTATAAAAAAAAAAAAAAAAAAAAAAAAATTGCCAATGGCTGACCTAAAAAGGTGACCTTACCCCCCCCCCCTCCAACGAAGCAAAATGTCAAATTAAAAAATTCGTGACCCCCCCCCCAAAAAAAAAAAATTGTCCTCTTACCCCCCCCCCCCCCCTCCAACGAAGCAAAATGTCAAATTAAAAAAATTCGTGACCCCCCCCCCCCCCAAAAAAAAGTGTCCTCTTACCCCCCCCCCCCCCCCCCCCCCCCCCCCCCCTTATTCAGCGGCCGGCTAAGTCGTTGCGATTTTTTTGGGACTAAAAATTGTTTTTAAAAGTGTCCGCTTACCCCCCCCCCCCCCCCCCCCCCCCCCCCCCCCCCCCCCCCCCGCTTATTCAGCGGCTGGCTGAGTCGTTGCGATTTTTTCGGGACTAAAAAAAATATATATATATGTTCTCTTTCCCACACGGTGCCCCCCCCCCCCCCCGTGTGCCCCCCCGGTAAGAAATTCCTGGATCCGCGCCTGACGCTATACTCTCCCGGCTCCCCACTAAGTAGTTAATTAGGGTATGCTTGTTCCCTCCATTAATTTGAAAGCAGCCCCCTATCTCAGGGCTGCCAACATAGCGCTGGTTATAGTTAATAATAGACTTTGATCATTTAGGGTCTGGAACAAATTGTCAGGGAAAGTAACTAAACTCTATTAAAAAATGAACTCCAATATCACGAACGTCTCGCTCCTAAACTTTGTTATAGGCCAAAAAAGGGTCAAGGCTAAGTCCGCTCCAAAAATAATTTGCTTTTAATAGATGCTAAAGAAAACAAGAGAAACAGAGCCAAAAAACATTTAGTAAAATCGGATAACTAATAAGAAAGTTATGAATTTTTGAAAAAGTATGAAAAGTATGGAACTTAGAAAGTCACTACACAAATTGCCAATTTGGTTATCAGTTTGTGACGTCATTGCCTCACTATTTATCAATTGCTTTATATATTTTTATCCCATTAATTTCTCGTTTTATCCCCCAAAACTTGATCCCCCCATACCTTTGCCCAGGTTATATGATTTGTATCATATTGGGTGCATTCATTTCACAAAATCTTTTATAAACTTTGAAGTATCGACACTATTTTCTGAATATTGTATATTCATAATCATTGATTTTTAAATGAATAAATTATCAAAGTTCAAATTGTTCAGGATTTAACTGAAAAGAATTACTCTATATTAGTGCATCGACACAAAAACATATTACTATCAATATAACTTGTATGCTGGTGTGAGGAAATAAGATTTTTAGGGGGAATTGGAAATTTATATTATCAATTTAAAGAAAATGACTAGTGGATAATGAGGCAAAGACGTTACAATTTGTAGTGTGGTTTTTTAATGTTTTTCAAGTCATTAAAAATTCATATCTTTCGTATTCGTTATCCGATTTTGCTCGACTTTCTTTTAATTGGTTTGTCTGATTTTTCTTCTTCTATTGAAAGTAAGTTATTTTTGTAGTGGACTTGCTCTTTAAAGTCCACCCTGCTATTAAGTTGGTTTTTATGTATCCTAGAAACATGACTTTGGTGTCTATCCTATGGTTTTCGAGGCGGAGAATACATTCGAATGAGTTACAATGTTCATTGGTGGCCAGCTAGGAAACCCCCCGAATTCCAGAGACCTCAAAAGGGTCATAATCATCATCATCAGCGTTTTAAGTCCATTTCTCCCACTTTGTTAATAAGTGACTTATGGCTATTTTTAGGTAGCGGCGGCCATCTTGGACGCCATCTTAGATATGGGGGTTTCCTAGACCATCTCAAAACATTCTAACTTGTCTAAGTGGATTCTAGGTCCCCCCAAACCATGGGATTGAAACCAAAATCATGTCTCTAGGATGGATAATAAGTGATGTATCAAAGGCGGATCCAGGAATTTCTTCCCGGGGGGGGGGGGGGGCACACGGGGGGGGGACACACTGGGGGAAAAAAAACTTTTATATATATATATATATATATATTTTATATATTTTTTTTTTTGGTCCCCAAAAAAATCGCAACGACTTAGCCGGCCGCTGAATAAGCGGGGGGGGGGGGGGGGAGTAGGGGGGAGGGGGTGGGGGAAAGAGCACATTTTTTTTTTTTTTTTTTTTTTTTTTTGGCCGGGGGGGGGGGGGGCATGTCCCTGTTCGCCGGTACATTTTTGGCGAATTTGGGGCTGATTTCAACATTTTTTGGGGCCGGGGATGGGGGGGGGGCACC